GGCAGGTTAGGGGTTTAGGTATTTGCATCGTGCATATTGTCTTGGTTTTGTTTCCTGCATTTTAATGATGGATGACAGATGCAGTTCAAATCTTTGTGGTGCCCGGAGCATGTCTATTTTGGTCTCTTAGAAGAATAAAGGGGATGTTGGCCCCCACTGTTTGACTGTGCAGATCAAGTTACTGCTACTAAACAGAAGAATATTTTTCCCTGTTTTATTTTGTGTGTTTGACAACAGGCTTTGGGTAGTAGGCCTCAGCATTTGATTTGCAACATCCGTTGGATTTCCCTGGGGCCTGTTTGTGTGGATGAGTTACTAGCAGAAAGAAGGAAAAGAAATAGCTGAATGGTTGAGGAACTACAGATCTCGGGAATATAGGGAGCAGGTGTCATTTCCAAAACTTGTGATCAAAAAGGAAAGTAATACTGGATTGCTTGGTAACAGCAGTATTTAAAAGTACTTTTACTCTAGGATGCAGGCAAGGTAAGAATGGCACCTTGACTGGTTTTTATGGTATATGCCACTGATAAAAACTTGGTCAGAGCCATTGCACTGGCCTCTTGAGTGTTCAGATGCAGACCTTTTTAGTCCTCCCATGATTGTGTTAATAGTGCAGATTCATACAGACCATTCTTGTGAAGCACATCAGTATTTTTGCTGAAATGAAGAGAGATCCTTTTCTTGTCCAAATCTCCTGGTGTTTCTCTGGAGATACTGTCACGATGTGGGTTGGCAGTGAAAGGAGAAGTCCCAGTCTTGTGTTTCGCCACATTCCCTCGCACCAGCATTCGTGCGGCCGCGGGATGAGTTGGATCAGGGAACTGATCTAGCTGAAAACTGTGACTGATTTACATGAATGCTAGAGCCAGCATAAGGGAGGTGATGGAAATGTGTGTTGGGGGGAACAGGGCTTCCTTGCTTGGTACTTTGTGCCCTGGCGTTAGTTCAAAGTGAGTATGTAATCCTCCTTATCTGGAAGATGTCCTTGCTTTGTATCAGCTCCCTGAGGTGGTCTGCTCGCATGTTTGCATGCGTTTGACGAAAATATTTTGTGGCCTGCTTCTGTTAGCTGGGATGAAATTTTCCAGAACTCCTCCATTCAAAAACCACTCAAGATTGCAGTAAATATAAGTTAGTTCTTTAATGTCAAGGGAAAACAGCGAAGGTGGTAGCTTTAGTATGGCACTTGAAAATGGTGTAGTGGGTAAATAACTTCCAGAGGTTTATAACTGGTGAATTCCTTTGTTGTGCGGCGTTGGAATTTGATGTCGGTCTGTTGCATTGAATGGGGTATGGCTGAAGGGCCCTCGAGAAGGGAGTGTTTGCTGCAGCAGGTTATTGTGTGCTCAGACTTATTCAGTGAAGTAGAAATTGGGTCGTTTTAGTGAATATTTGATTAACAGACTCCTTCACCCTTTCTGAATCTTACTCTGAACTCAGTCTGAGGTCTGTGCTAACTTTTAACTGATATGTGGAGTGGAGAGACGCAAAGCATCTCTATGATTCTGGTTTTAAGAAATTAGTCTCTCTGACCATGAGATAGAGCCACTGCTAGAATTTAGGGGCAGCAGGGTAGGAGCTGGGAGAGAGGTTGCTCTGCGCGGTTCTTTATCACTGCTTTGGTGCAGCTACGTGTGGCCTACGCTATATCAATAGTTGTCTTTGTGTTGGGCCTTTCATTTTAGGATAGTGTCTGTTTAAATACAGCTCTTGCCTAGCATGAACAACTTGGAAATTAATCCTGCTTGAGCAGGAGATTGGACTAGATGACCTCCAAAAGTCCCTTCCAAGATAATTCCTTGGTCAGGAGTGTATTAGTGGCTAAGTGCTAAGCAGCAGTGGTATTTTGCCCATCCAGGGTATTGTAGGGTGCATTCCTGTATCAGTTGGGCAATACTGACAGCACACTTCTGGGAATTCCTGCAAATTTTCCTGTGCTTGAGGGTTATAGGGCTACTCTTCCCCTACACCTCCAAGCACTGAAACCTGACGACCTGGGGAGAGCCGCCTTCAGAAGCAGACTCGGGTGACGTGCATTCCCGTGCCTGTGCTAAGCGCAGCCTCCTCTGAGCCTATTTAAGGCCTACTGGTGTGAGGCAGCATCAGCGCTGGGAAGGAGAGGTGCCGGGTGCACTGGGGCCGATGGCTGTCATCGCTTTATAGCGGCTCTTCAACTTTGGCTCCAACTCGGAGCGTTCGTGTGGCAGCACCCAGCATGACAGAGTGAGTGGCTTCTGTGCCCTTTGGAGTTTAGTTTAGTAAATAGCCACTCCACAGAGGGGGAAACCGAGGGCGCAGGAGATCAAGTGCCTTGTTCACAGCCGCTGAGGGAGCAAGTCGAGACTGGGTCTGGTTGAGGAGCACCTGGAGACAGACCCAAGCTATTGGCTATTTGTTTCTAGAAGGGAAGCTGGCATGTTACGATAGCTGAAGATGTGATTCACTGGTCGTGAACCTGCTTGCACCCTTGAATGCTGTACTCCATGCCACAGATGCATTCTTCTCTTCCCTCCACCCTGAACCTTCCTGCTAATTGGAAGCATCCCCCCTGTTTACTCAGTTCCTAACAGGATGCTTCATACCAAATAATCAATCATACGAAGTTTCTTAGCTTGTGACACATCTTAATGCGCCGAGGAATAATTCTTAGCAAAGAACGGGGTGCTGAGTCATCTGGAAAAATAAACAGTCCTTGGACACTTAATGCTGTTGATGCTTCTGCCGGTAGTTTTGTGACTTCAAACCTTCACTGCTGCCACAGGGTAGAAACAAACGGTGACTCCTCCCAGGAGCGGGGAGTGAGTTCAGAGTTTAGGCAGTGCTTTAAGACTCTGACATGCGGCCTTGAGCACATCTAGCTATGCTGGTCGTGACGTTGCTGTCCCTCTGACAGTGGGCAGAGCGTGTGCCCGTGCCTGCCCTGCCACGAGCCGGCAGACCTCTCCTATCGGTCTTCCGTAGTGGTGAGGATGAGCAGGCCTATCCTCTCCTGCCACCGAGGCCACCGTGCCTGCCAGGGGAATAGAGCTGGACTCCCCGGGAAGCATCCATCAAAGACAACAGAGAGGCCGACTCGCTGCTGCTGCGTGTTTGGGTCTTCTAGAGGGATGGAGGGCCTCGCTGCGATTCTGGAGGAAGTAGGAGCAATATTACCCACTGGTTTGTGTTTCACACGGGGAAATGGTACACCCAAGCGCAGAATGGGACACAGGCCAACACGGGGTGTGGGCTTACAGCAAAGCAACGTAGCTGGACTTGCTTAGAAATCCTAGCAGCAATAAGGCCCAGGTAATTGGACCTTGATTGCCAGCAGCACTGTAAATACCAAAGGGTCTTATTTTTGTTAGGATCACACAGCTAGGTAAGGAGCTGTGGCAAAAATACAGCCTTCCTGGACTCTCATTTCAGAAAGGGGACAGTGCAGGCATGCTCTGAAGGGAAGCTCTGAACTAATTTGGAGATCTTCTACCCCACAGAAAAGTGGCTTTGTTTAGCAAATAAATGTAAGCTTTGGCTGTTCCTGATCTCTTCCAAACCTGCCTGTACGACGGGCCAGACTGTTTGCCACATATCGTGTGCTACAAAATTGCTGTGGTGCACGTTTCCAGTACTTCTCATCCTGCTGTTGGGTAACGCTTGCTCTGTAGAACAACCGCAAACCCTAAAAAATGCATACATCTCCAAGTAAGCAAATACACTGGGGAAAAATAAAAACAATAAAGAGAGAGTGGGCTTTACTTGATTGTAATAAGAATTGTAATGTTTTTGTAATGTTATTGTAATAAGCTGTGGCATTGTCTGTCAGAAGGCTCTGTGGGTATTTTTTTCTCCCCAGAGAAGTTAGGTCAGCTTTGTTTTTAAAATAAAAGTTAAGAAGATGACTTTAAAATGTTCTGCTACAGTTTGGCCCTAAGCTCATCAGAACTGGCAAAGGGAGATAAGTGGTCTGTGTATTTTTAATGTTTACTTTAGAAAGGAGAGAAGCAGAGCATGTGTTGGTTACACAGCCAAGGTCTAAGCAAGCAGTGTCACACAGCCGTAGGTGCAGTCAGATGGAAAGTCTTAGCTTTACCTGAGCTGGCCTGAAAGAGGACCGGCTCTAAGCCCATGTTGTTTTCTCCCTTCACTTGGATCTGCCGGCATAGCTGCCTGGGTCATCACTCCCTAACCGACGTCTGGCAAAGTGAGCAGGCTTCAGATAAGCCTTTGCAATTGCACGTGCAAGCTGGTCCCCATCAGTCTGACAGAATGAGGTTAGGGAACCGCCATAGATGTAGTCAGGGAAGAGGGTGTGATAAACCCAGTCAGAGGTTAACCTTGTAACCCAGCTCTGCTGCAATCAGGGTAGTGTTTCTGTTTGGGTTGAGTGCGCACCGTAAAGTTACAGGGAACTGTTTCATCTGGGCAGCCTTAACAGGGCAAGATTGGCAGAGGTGTGATTTTGGTCTCTAAATGCAGGCTGCTGAATACCTCATATGTCCTAAGAGGAGGATGCCCTCACCAGTGGAGCTCTGTCTTGTTTCTTGTCTGGCAAATTGTTTCTTGAAGTTCTGATGCCGGTCTGCAGAGTATCTCTGTCTTTTTGCTTGGTTTTATAGGTAACATTAGTAGCTTTTACAAGTAATTATGGTAGCTTTTACTGGTCACTGCAGCCTCTAAATCAGTTCGCATCCAAAATTCTCAAACCTGCTTGTTGTTACATGGTTCACAGTGCACGCAGAAGGGCCCTTGCCTCTGTGCACAGGAAACTGCAGTGCAGTGATACCGAATCCAGCTTTGTAGTATATGCATCTGAATTATACTGTCTGCTGAATTCAGGCAGGGGTTGTTGATCTGCTTTGTATTGTGCTGCGGATGCCGTTAGCACTCTGTGTGCTGTGGATTGCAGCGTCTAAAGAGGTGCTGAGACTCCAGTGTGTGATTCACGTAAGGAAAATGAAGTGAAGCAAATTTTGTCCAATTTCCAGAGTTCATAATTCTCTTGTTTCTTACACAGGGCGGGTTACCAGAATCCAAATGGCTCTCTTGAATAGGCGATTGGGTTTATCCTTAACCCGTCTAAGCAGCCCGGCAATCCAGCGACACTTCAGGTAATTTTCAAATCCTGCTTTTACTTTTGTTCTCTTGGGAGAATTTCCTGATTGAAAGAGATGCTGTTAAGTAGGTCAAGCGTAAGATACAGTATTTCTAATTCAAAAAGGTTAATACAATAAAACAAAATTTCATAGTTGTCTCTTCACGGGTTGTAAAGTGAGCCCAAACACAACAACAGATGCAGGTTCCTGGCAGTCTGAGTGTGGTCTGCGTTTTTGTTTGCTTGTAAGGAGAAGGAGGCTTTTAGGCCTTTGAGGATGATGCAGGGGGCCTGCAAGCAAAAGTTGAAAGTGCCTGTGTTTCTCAGCCAAGTCCAAAAAAGCAACAGCCAGCCCCTGCTGATGTAAAGCCAATTACAAGTTTAAAATTATTCCAGAGTTTATAATTTCAGCTATTTAGAACAAGAGTAACCTGAAAAATTATTGCCTTGTACCTTAACGGTGTCCATTTTGTTGTTTTTCTTTAGGTCCTTGTTCCAGGCTCAAGGCCTTTAAAGCTTCTTAAATTTATGGACCTCATGTTTTACAATGCCTTGCACAAAGCTTAGAGCCTAATCCCACGGTACACTCACTGTGGGTATGGGTAATCTCTAGCATATAGCTCTTTGAAGGATCAGAGCTTCAGTTTTTAGGGTGAGAATAGTCATTCCCATGACTGTGGTCTAGAGAGGGGATTAAGACAATGCTCAGGGCTAGGTTGTGTGATAGTCCCAGGAGCTATCTCGAGGAGGTATCTAAGTCTTACTGGCTTTCTCTGTAAATGGACTGCATGAGAGCATTGGCCAGTAAACATTTAAAGGATATATATAGGCTGACAGCGAGAGGGAGGCCAAGTCCACAGAAGTGAGCAGTGCTACTGCAGGACGTCAGCAGTCTTAATGGGGAAACCTTTCCTTTGTGGTGGGCTTGCTTTGGATGTGGTGGGGTTTTGCTCCAAGACTGTGGTAGAAATGAAGGAAGGAGGGGAAAGAAAATGTCCTCCTTGTGCAGTTACTCTTGTCTGGAGGTACGTGGGCAATCACACTTACAGTTCTTTGCTACTGCTGTGTTGTGGACTTGGTCTCGCCTAGGTTCTCCCTTCTCTTTCCTGCGACAACACACTTGTCCCCTTCCAGCCTCCTCCCTTCTGCCTTCCCTGCTGTGCAGCCACAGCCTGGCAAGCAGAGGATAGAGAGTGTGGTATATACCACAGTCCCTGCCAGGGGATGGGATGGGAGAGGGTGGCTGCTTGCAGAAGTGAGTGACTTCTGAGAGAGAAGAGGTGTCCTCTTGTAGGGGAAAGCTGGGGTAGGCCTCTGCTGTGGGAAACAAATCTTGAAAGGCAGCACTGGACCTCTGGAGCAGTTAGACTAATGCAGACTGACCCAGCCAGCCTTCCCTTACTGCAGGTAAAAACGTCTGCTTCAACTCATGTCCATCCACACTGTGTTTGATACACAGGGGATGGCATTGCAAATACAGGTCCTTTGTCTTCAAGAAGGGGTGGTAGTTCCCATTGGTCTTAATTTACTGTACACGCTTCTGCTCTGCAAAACAAGGTGAACGGTTAGGTTGATTCCATATGCTGTCTATTTGAGTAGTTCAGCTGACAGCAGCTTGGCAT